TCATCTCTCGCTGCTATTCTGTCACCATTTGGTCCTTTGTACGCCTTGTAGGTCACGATCTGTGGGTTTGACATTTACAGAAGATTGTGCTACTGTAAAATGGACAACTCTGAACAAAGGCAGATATGAAAGACAGAGAGCGGCACCCCAACAAGAGAGAGAGAAAAAAAGAAGAGATTAAAGCGAGAGAGAAGAAATCAAGGAGGGGTGCGTGAATGTGATTTGGGAAATGGCTTCTGTTTCCAGGAGCGATCAGGCTTTGAAGCTGAGCACTTCACCACTGACTGCACTGTCAGGCGTGCTCTCTCTCTCTCTCTCTCTCTCTCTCTCGCAGTCACTCTCCTCTCCTACTCTTTGCAGATACAGAGATTCCCGCTCTGTCAACACATCCACACATCGCTCAAAAAGCTCTCTGAGAATAATGAAGTTCCCCCTCCGTTCACCTCCTTCCCTCCACACTGTGGGAACACTCAGCAGCAGCAGTTCCATAACACTGTGTGACAGTCAGCAAAGTGCCTGCACACAGATGCACTGACTGCCTTGCACTCTCAGGCACACATCTCCTCAACACTTGCTCACATGCACTGACAACCCTGTTTTTTCCCCCTAAAATTCCTAAAAGGCTCCTGGTGTCATAGTTGTTATCTCAGGTGAGGTCATGCCATCAATGCTTACCTCTCAGCCTTTTGTCTTTGCAGCTGTTTTGCGACCCCCCCCCCTTCCTTTTCTCTTCTCCACACTCTCTCTCACAGACAAACACTCTTAAACAACCACCTCCATCTCACTGCTTACCTTTGTCTTCCTCTTTCCTCTGCGCCCACGCTCGCTCGAAAAAGTCCGCCTGGGTCAGCCACGCAGAGGAAACCAAGCTGGGCCAGCAGAGAGAGAGAGAGAGAGAGAGAGAGAGAGAGAGAGAGAGAGAGAGAGAGAGAGAGAGTGATGAGCAGATGCAGATAGGAGACACAAATGGAGGGGGGGGTTTAGCAGTGTGCAAATTGGATGATGAGAAGGAAGGAAGGAGGGAGGGAAGGAAGGAAGGAAAGAGGTGGTGGAGGAGGAGGAGGAGGAGGTGGGGAAAAGGGGAGGGGGGGGCAACTCTCAGCTGCACTGGTATGAATATGACGCAGAGGCAGCAGCCAGAGCCACTTCTCCTCTTCTCTCCTCTCCTCTCCTCTCCTCTCCTCTCTAGCCCCATCCCTCCATGCCCACCGAGAGAGAGGAGAGAGGGGGAGAGAGGGCACTGTATCCATGGCAACGGCAGAGCAGCGGTAGGTAGCAGTTAGGGAGTGTGTTGGGGCACAGTAGTGTTCCTCTCCTTCTCTGTTTTTCTCAGAAACAGGGGGAGGCTGTGGAGGAAACGTGAGCAGCAATGGATTCTTCAGGGCATGACAGGTAATGAGAGGCAGACAGATTGGGCCTGTTGTGTCTCAGACACATGGGACACAGGCACAGAGGAAACACATGTTCATTCTACTGTAAATGCAGAAAAAAAACGGCAGAAAACCTCCAACATCAGGTAATGGAATAAGTAACTTTAAATGTAAATGTATACTACTTTGGCACCTTTCACAACGCCACACACAAGGATAATCAAACACAATGACTTGACACAGGGAGCGGTGAACTTCTCCGAAACTAAAACCAGAAAATTGTGTCTGAGTGGAGCAGAGCAAACAAAACTCCAAATGCAAAGATGTCTTGTTGTGACACTGCTGGACCTATATAAGTGGTGCTGATTTTAATTTTTTTTCCCCCCATACATCCACACTCAAAAGGGGCAATTAAGGGTTTAGGGCTTTGCTCAAGGAGACTTCAACATGTGAACAGGAAGAGCCAGGGATCGGACTAAACACCCTTTAAATTATTGGTGAACCCAACTGCCCAAGCAACATTACATTTTTGTTTTTTTTAAATGAACGCTATATGCTGTGGCACATAACTATAATGATCTTGTTCTTCATAGGAAATTCATGTTTGTCAAAGCAAATGCAGCAAAGGGACACAACTGATCAGTGAGACTCGTAATTGTTGCCTTAGGGACTCCTGGATCGACGCCAGAGAGGACACAGCACGCAGACACAAAACTACACTGCAGTGGTGTGTCTGTTGTTTTGAGACTGCTTGTCAATAAGGACGCTCTCTCAAATCCATCATAGTGCGTGCGTGAGTTTACTGAGGAGCTCTGCCACAGCTGTCAGAGAATGTTGAAAGATTTTAAAACTTTACAAACAGAGCGTAGCAGTTTTCCTCTTCACACAGCAGACAATTAATGACAAATGTAAAAATAGAGACACTGACAAAGTGGTACACCGTAATGGAAGACCACTGCTGAATGTGCTGTGTGTGTGTGTGTGTGTGTGTGTGTGTGTGTGTGTGTGTGTGTGTGTGTGTGTGTGTGTGTGTGTGTGGCTTCACCTCTAATCCATTTCTGCCTGTGGGACAATGGGAATTGCCTATGGCTTTTCTGTGCCATGCAGAACCGATCCTAATGAGGAACACATCACCCCCCACTTTTGTATTTGACCCAATTTAATCCCCACCTTTATGTTTCAGAGCCTGTCTTCCTGTTCACTCCTCATACCTTTAGTTCATGTATTACACTTAGTAACAAACAGACATCCACCACTGCCCTTTATTTAATTTACCTCCCCAGCTGTGAGGTGAAGAATTTCTCTTGTCGATGTGATGTTAGTCCTCAGAGAACAATAAATGTTTTCATAGTGGTATTCCCTAGTGGTAATTTCATTTTAACTGACTCTAAAGGGTTAGTGTTACACCATCACATAGGTCTAAACCTCAAGTTATTTTTGACAAAAAAAAGAAAAGAAAAGAAATCTCAACTCAAGGTCCACTTACCAGCTTTTTCCAGAGCTTTAACTGCATCTCAAAGTCTTCTTCAGCTAATGCAGTTTGGTCAGTTGTCATCACTTGACCACAGTATGGGATCTTGGTCACGTGATAACAGGAGACTGTGACTTCTGTCTCGGTTTAAAACTGTTTTTTTGTGATGGATGTGAATGGCCTCATTGATCTTTGTCCAGCCAGCCACTGGAAAACAGAGGATGTCATATTCATTTTCAGGAAAAGATGTACACCAACAATAGTGATTTTTAATCTGCTTCTATCAAAATAAAAGTCAGACATTAGCATAATAACACCTTGTGTGTGCCTTTACTTTTTTAATTTATATGGATCTTGTTTTAATATGGAACTTGAACCTGGAACTTTTGTATTTTCAAATACACAGGAAAAGAAAGAGCATCTAATTATGTGACTTAATGTGACCTACTATCATATGCACTTGTCAATGTAAGTATCTATTGCAATGTGCTACCAAATTTACCCATCATATAACTTAATGTTAACACAATATAGGGAAGGATATACAGACACTAGAATGCAATCTGACACAAAAACAAAACAAATTCCATGACTGCCACTGTCCAACCCAACAGTGTGAGCAGAAATATACAATGTTAACAAATCTGTTGTCAGAAAAGATGTGTGCTTTTACTATGGTCCAAAATACACTTCAGTCTATAAGGGAAACAGTCTCCACACAAATGATGTTTTTCCCATCCAAAGAACAACATAAGAGTCCTCCAGTCCTGGAGAGCCCTACTTGCTTCTTTGTTTTCACAGTCATTGTAAGGACAAGCAATTAGACTAAACCTATGGGAGCCGAAATGCCGGACAGTTAGAAAAGAACCAAGTAACAGCAATGGAACTGCAAAATAACCTGTTCTAAAAAAAACTTATGCTAAGATGATTAAAAAAAGTCTGTGTCTATGTATAATATGAGATTCATGTCACTCTATAAAGGCAGGTAGATATACTGTACGTAGTAAGCACAGTACAGTTTCACACAGTCTGTGCATAATTAAGTGATACAAAGAAATTTTACTACAATAGAGTTGAGTTTTAAAAAGAGTTGCTGTTGTTGTTGTTGTTGTTGTTGTTGTTGTTGTTGTTGTTGTCGTTGTTGTTGTTGTTGCTGCTGCTGTTGTGGTAGAGTACTGCATGTTTTGCATACTGTTACAGCATACTGCTGTGTGAGCAGTGTGTTGTGTTGTTGTATTGGGTTGCAATACCTTGTAAGGTGTTCCTGATATGTCTGCTGCTCCATATGTGTCAGTGCAACAGACAAAACACTGGACACATATATCACTATGATGGAGTCTATTATAAAAACACCACAATCTTCAGCCTCAGAACTGACCACAGAGCTGTAAGTCAACACAACAATACATGCACCTAAAGTAGTCTCAAGAACAGTGAGCATTTGAAACTGGTGTGTTGCTTTGCATTAGTTGTTTCTGTTTTTCTGACTTAATGTAAACAGGCAATTGGGTCGTTGTTAAAAAAACAACCATAACAATCCTGTGATTCATTTTAGAATAACATGATGCAAACAATATTAAATGATGCATATAATCCACACTTAAACTCCTGTAAACAAATATTATAAAACTATTACACCTCTACTTCTTTTCTGTATAAAACAGACCACTAACACCTTCATTATTATATGGTGAGTGGTGCATGACATTATAGCTGCAAGTAACACTTGTTTTCATAATCACTAAATCTATTGAGTATTTGTAATGAACTGATTAATGCTAAATTAACATGTAGTTAGCAAAATGTCAGATCTAGTCACTGTAACCTACCTGCACGTGTTAAAAGCTTGTTGTTTCAGCCACTGTAACCACTATGACTAATTTAATTTGAGCCTGTGCCTTAAGTGTATTTTTGTCCTCTTCATTTTGCAGCACAGATAAATACCGCCGGCCACCACATGGCAGTGTAGCACTCTCAGACGTATTTAATAGAACTACAAAGAAACGTGGTCACGTAACCTTTGACCCAGGGCGTCACTTTGCGTCATTTTGCCGGGAATGTCGGACCACGTGTCTCCCACCACCGGCGTGCTTGTTCACTGACGCGCTCGGTTCATCACTTTTCACTCAGAAAGCAGCCGGGGCAGGGAGTATACTCGCAAGATGGCGGCGCGGTGGGGAGCAGGCGAGGAGACTTTAACTGCGTGCAATATGGAATTTTTCCCTATGGATACACTAGACGAGGTAAAGGATATTTGCTGAACTTTATTTCCTAGCATTTAATTACACTTTTAGTAGTTGTGTGTGTGTGTTTTTGGAAGATGGGCAGAGTGTGTGGTGTGTGTACGGGATGTACACTGCGCATGGAAAAGTGACACGTGGATGCAACCGTAGTATCACTAGTAAAACTTATTCATAAAGTACTCGGTGTTCTGTGGAGATAACAGCCAGGTAACTCTCTTGTTGTGTATTTGTGAAGTAATACGCAATGCTTCCTTGTGATGAGCGGGTAGATTTTTAGCTGTATGTTAATGCTAGCTGGTGAGTCAGTGTGGCTTGGCCGGCCGGCTACGGAACGACGCAGGTTTTCTCCCATATAATATAAATGCCAGTTGGAGAAAATGAAGTGACAGTTGTGTATATTTATTGGTGGTCGACCTGGCATGTTCACCATTTGTATAATCGATAACATTAAGACGCATTTAAGCTCCATCAGTGGGTGTATGTGCAAGAGTACTGTCTGTCCTGCCCATCAACTGATTCATTCACACGTGGTAACAAACACTGCAAGATCCTAGTCCTCCAGCTTTGTCATCATTGTAGCGTGGATGTGTCCTTTTTTCTATTTTATTTTCTTGGCTTGACAGTGGTTAAGATGCTAAATATTCATTTTTGCCATGCTTTAGTTTATAGGCTTCATGCCAGCACGTTGCAGTAAAGTGTCATTAGCTCAGTGTTGATGCACACTATGAAGGTCTTATTATATTTAGACAACGAGTGCAATCACTGCAGTTACACACACACACACCTGTCTGATTATCCACTCTCACGCTGCTGCAGCGTGTCAGGTTTTCATTCAAAACCAGTGTGTGTATTACCCACATGTGGTTCAGTCGTGGTGAATCACATGTTGGATTCCTTCACACATGCGCAGCAGAGACGGTCAATTTAATCTCTGCATACACCCTTACATAGAGTTTACAATTAAGTGCCTGCAGTTTCCCAACATTTAGTGTACTAACGCACATTAAAATGCGATCTTTCAGTTTTGTAATTGTCAAAACGTGAGGTAGGAGTGGTGGTGAGGCCCTGCTGGGGTTTGTTGTAGTGCAACACGTGGGCAGTATAGCTTCCCTTTGGACGGGGTGAGGCCAGGATCAAACATGTCTGCATAGACAGAGACACGTGGGTCAATGTAAGAGACTGGTGTGTTTTTAGATGAAAGTGCAAAATGTTATCAGTTATGTTTGCTCTTATAGGGGGACCTCTATACTGGACTTAGTGTGTTGCATATAACTCAAATCTGAAGAGTGAGCCTTCTACCACCACAACTGATTATTTAATTTTATATGTATTTAGTAAACTTTCATTTCAGATGTAACTACTTAAGACTTTCCAATATTTTCCATTGCACTTTGTCTGTCTTTTTTAAAAACAAATTGTCTGCTTAAATGTATCTAAGTTCAAATTATGTTGAAGCTGTATATAAAGTTATAACTTCCATTAATAAGTGTTAGTCCTGCATGGCCAATAGGCATGTGCTCTGATGTTCTTGTATGTTTCTGATCATAGGAAAATGCCTCTGGTATTTTCTTCTCTTCTTCAAGCTGGAACTAAAAGCATGTGCCCTCCTTGCCCTGTGGGGTTTCCTCTTCTGATTCTCCTTTTCACATGAGTTTAAACTTATCTTCAGCAACCAAATAAATAAGCTAGTTTGCCATATGTACTTGTCCAACCTTTGCGCAGAGTAGACTTGAAGTAGACTTTCATTTTTTAAATAAAATTCTATGGCCATTGTGAAACATGAAGCCGACCCTGCCTGAACAGATACACAACACTGATTTGTTTACATTTGTTGACTTATATATCTTTTTAAAGCTTGAGATGTGTTCAAAAAGTAACACAGATGCTAGAACCTGTATAAGTACTACGTCAAAGGTAGATGTTTTTTTGGGGTTTTTTTGTTTGTTTCTTTTAAAGGAAAAAAAAGTGAAAAGTTCAGTTGTAATGGAAATGCCGCCCAGTGGGCAATATATGATACTACAAGGATCTTTACCCTGTGGAACACCTCTTTGACTAAGATCTGAGTCATCTTAAGTCCCATACTTAAGAACAAACAAGTCGCGTTTCTAATTATTTGCTTAATGTTGGATTAAGTTGTTTGAAATATTCACACATGACTGTAGCAATGAACACTTGTCAGAGTTGGGTCACTTGTGTAAAGAAAAATGTTTGCTGTCCTTATCCACTAGTACTGTGGTAGTACAACTTCAGTAGCCACAGTTATGCACATGTGGGTGGCTGCTTGCAGATAGTTTTTACCTGAATTATATATCCAATTTTGCCAAAAAAAAAGTAAATAAATCTGCTTTTTCTCCTCTCTAGACTGCTGTGCTGAGCTCTGGAGAGACTCTGGAAGCCCTTCAAAGCTGCTTAGACCCCTCCATCCTTTCTATATTTGAGGACACACCGACAATAGAGGCAAGACTCATTTCACATGCTTGAACTCAAGTATTACAGTAACCTGAGAGAGATCTATGATGTGTAAGCCATGTACAGTTGTTTGTTTACACTCCCTGTAGTGAACGCTTTGACCTAATTTCCATGTGTTTTTATTTAGACTAAAGGACTGGATGAGGAGAGCGAAGCCACGCTGCTAACCGCCCTGACAGAGATCCTGGACAATGTAGATGATGAGAACCTGTCCCCGTTTGACACACTGCCTGACTCAGACCTGCTGTCAGGTCAGAAGGGCAGGGAACACTCTCCGGTTAGTGCCCAGCTGTCATACATAACTCTGAAAGTGTCTCGGATTCCTGCTCTCGACAACCCCCCCCCCCCCCCCCCATCTGGCCTTTGAGCTTGGGGCAGAGAGAGTGAAAGGAGGTGGAAGGGCAATCTGCTCACCTCTGGTTATAAATATACCTCTTGTTCATTGTTTCAGATGTTTATAGATATAAGATTTACCCCTAAAGTGGATAAGTATTAATGTCCTCATGCTGTTCTTTATCTTTCACTCTCCAGCTCCGGAGATTGCTGTGTCTGTCTCGTTCCCCTCCCGACAAAGACTCACTATGCAGTGCAAGACCCATATCAACTGGAAAGGTAGCTTTGTGCATAATTAATGTGTATGTAAACTAGAACAACAGCCAGATTTCAGCGTTTGACTGGATGTTTGTTTCCTTGTCTGCGCCCAGAGCCTCCCCAGGATACATGCAGATTCTCTCCAGAGGAGTGATGGAGAGGAAGAAGAAGATGGCTCTCTCACTCTGAGCCCAGTGAGACTCAATTCATCTCTTGACAGTGCCCTTTTAGACTGGGAAGGTCCGACCCTCCCGCTCTCTGTCACCTTTGAGCAGGAGGGTGAAGATGGCGTTTCGGTTAGCCTGGGGGACTTGGTCAGGCATATGCACCCGTATTGTATGGCCATTTGTGTAGAGAACGACGATGGGGAACAGATGTTGCCCGAAGGAGGGATCCTCCTGGAGGTTGTGGACCAGGGGGAGAATGGAGAACCCATCCTTGCCATCCCAAACATGGATCTCCCGGTCTCTCTGCCGCTCGAAGAGCAGTCTTCAGAGAATGAGCAGAAACTCGCAGATGAAGCAGAAGAGGCGGCCTCTGACAGCTCGGAGCATATAGTCGTTGATGATGAAGATGTAACAGTCGGCGAGGCTCCAGTGAAAGTTACAGCACGTCCAGATGTGAAAGATGAGATGATCATAAAGAGACAGAAGGAAGATATTAGAGAAAAAAGCTCCTCCTCGAGGAAAAAGAAAAAGAAAATCAAAGAACACTGCCAACCTGAACCTGTGGAGGGAAGGGTCCTTAGGAGCGGTACACTAAGAAAGACGGTACAGGAAGCACCCATACAGCCTGAAAAAATGTCAGTCAAAGAAAAGAAAAAACACAAAATCCCAAAGGTTCCTGTTGCCTTCACTCCAGCTTCTTCCTCTGTGAAGCCTAAGAAGCTAAATCCATGCCAAACCGAAACACAAACAGAAATCGCCACTACAACACTATTGCCTGAAGTGAAAGCGCAAGTTGCCACATGTGTGTCACCCAGACAGGACACTGCTCTGTTAAAAGATGCCCCGGAGGAGAGTCGGTGTAGCAGTTCACCCACAGCAGTGAGCTCCCAACAGCCCAATGAAACTCCTAAACAGCCGGGCCCAGCCCCCGAGAAGCTTGAAGACTCATCAGCAGCTCCCCCTGCTGCCCTTGCCCTGCTGTCTTCAGAGAGCCCTGCAGCTGCTCCTAGTCCCGTAACACCCCAGATGACACCACCTGTTTGTGAGGCCCTCCCTCCTGTGGCCACTGCAGTCCCAGAGCCGAAACCCAAATCCCTCAGTCTAGCGGAGTACCGGCGGCTCCGGCAGCAGAAAAAGCCGGCGCCGGTGGAAAAGCAAGACGATAACAGCACCAAGTGGCCCTGCCTGCCAGAGCTTCCTAAAGAGCTGCCCCCAATTCCCTGCCTGCCTGACCCCAGCCCCAAGGATTCCCGACGCCCCAACCCCCAGGCAGCGAAGAAGGAAGTGGAGGAGGTCAAGCCTGCCTGGCAGCCAAGAGGACCGGCTGCGCCACCCACCCCCGAGGCTCTGCTGGTGCCACCAGCCTACATGGTTGCTTCATCCAGCAAGGTTTCCGCTGCTACTCCTGTTGCTAAACCCCAGCAAACACCTGAACCTTCCAAACCTTCTCTACCTGAAAAACCCTCAGTTCCTGTCGCTAATTCAGGGAAGGACTTGCCCACAAATCAACATGCCACTGCTCAACCTGCAGTACCTTGTGTGCCTCTGAGCTCCGAGTCTCCAGCTTCTTTAAAACATGCCACTCAGTTCATGTCGTCAGCAGATGGGAAGTGCTCTCCCGTTCTTTCGGGAGGAAAGGGTGGAGTCGATGAAAAGCCCCAATCTCAGCCTTTATCTCTAAAATCTGTGGAGCTGATTAAACCCTGTCCTACAACCACTACAGAGTCAATCAAACCCACCGCTGCTACTGTGTCTGCCTCCAGTGCCCCCCAGAAGACCACTGTTGTTTCCCAAAAGGTGCCTGAGGTCACCGCTGTTACCACGTTAAATAGCCCCATCGCAGCTGATAACAAGGCCTCCAAGCCCACAGCCAGTGGTACCCAGCAGTGTTCCTATTCAGCTGCTCAGCCCTCAGACTCCCAGAGTCTGAAGGCACAACCTGTTGTGCTTGAAACTAAAGAGAACTCCACTACAGCAGTGAAGCCCCAAAGGGCAAAGAACCCCACACAGGAGCTGATTGAGGCCTTCACCAGTGAGATCGGTGAGCTCAAAGATGATTGCTAAAAACATAATATAATATATATATATTGTAATTTTATTCATGAAAGGCTGATAGTAATTGCCATTTCATTTCCATACCTTTTTTTTTTTTTTTGATGGAAGTCATGTTTTCTTGTGGACAAATAGACATTCAAACAATTAAGAGACATACCAGCTACTGGTATTTTATCTCTAGTGCCTTGTTGGAAAATTGCCTTGTCAGTGTCTCATCTCTGCTGCACTGGAGCTCTAGCCTGCACTTACTCTGTTCCAGTAGTTGCTGATGTGCAGGAATCCCATATCAGAAATGAATTATTTTATTGTTAATGCAGTAAAATAATACGCAGTGTCACTGTATAAATTGAAACACTTTCACCCCTGTGTAACTCCTAGACTATTCTCTATAATCATCCTACACCTGTGTGTCACCACTGTCTTGTTCTGTTTCAGCATAACTGTAAACACATTTGTGTATAAGAGCATGTATGCTCAGACACTCTACCCTGTGTGAATAATGGTTAAATAAGTACAATTCTGTTTTTTTATAATCCAGAACATAATGTTATGATCCCTTTTTGTAGGTATTGAAGCTGCTGATCTGACCAGCTTGCTGGAGCAGTTTGAGGAAACCCAAGGTAATCAATAATGGCTGATTTTTACTGTGTCGATTGAGTATGAAAGAAGTGCTCAATTTCTCAGTTCACTCCATGTTACACATTCCATAGTTTTTAGTTTTTATTTTTGGTGTTGCCTAAGGGAGGTTATGGTAGGCCAGTAACTTAGTGGGTTGCTTAGTTTACTACCAAGCTAAATGTCATCAGAGTATCAGTTTTCCTGGTTTTGTAATAGCAGGAAGTGGCACAAAACATTATCTCTGGTCAGTAGTGGTGTGTTGGTGGGTAGAAGGACTTGGTCTTAAAAAGACAAGAGTATCTGCTTGAAGCTTGACTGATAACAACAAATACAGTGCTGTTGTGCATACACTTAGGGGTGGCATCATCAGTGAAGTTAGATGACCATTCCCTAATATCTTTCACCAACAGAGCACATACAAGGTCTATCTCATAGTCCAGCAAAAGTGACCTACGGAACAGAGATATTATCGGGCTGTTCATATGAATTTGACGCTTATCTGATCCCCTGGAAAAGTGTTTTAAACATTCAAAGATTGTTCATAATGGCAGGATTTTTTTTTTTTTTTTTGTTTGTTTGTTTTTACCCCCTACTGAAACATTCCCCTTTAAGAGATGGGTGCTGTGGGGGGCAGAGAAGCTGCTTTGTGCTCTTGCCTGCTCAGCTGCTGGAATTTTGCCCTGTCCGCAAATCCATTTAACTCTCACCCTGCTGTCTTTGTTTGAGCGGATGTACAAGCCCAAACTCTAACAAGTGCTTGGACTGTGTGTGCCATTACTCATGTCAGTGGATGTGTTATTGAACCACTGTACTGTTTGCTATGCCTAATGTAGCTGCTGGCCATTTGGTGACATTCTGTGCAAAATACACTGAACAAATATCACCCAGTATAAACGCATTATTCTCTACATGTATACTGACAGATTATCCATACAGTATTTTGTAATTTTTGTTGCTCCTTTATCTCATCTGTTAGTCCCTGTGCTGATGCACTTATTTCCCTGTCCTTTCTCTCTTCAGCCAAAGAGGAGCAATGTGTGCCGGAGGTCTCTGGTAGAGCAGCAGCTGTAGGAAACTCGAGGTGAGTTACCCTACAGCCCTCACGCTGCTCTGTGTGAGTGATGGAGCAATGGTTTCTCTGGAAAAGCCCTGGTCACGTGAAACCTGTTTGCTCTATGTGTGCGTGTGTGTGTGTGTCTGTGAGCTTGTGTGTGAAGGTGATACACGTTCACCTCTTGCCAAGACCTACCGTAAAGCCTGCTGTTGTCCAGCCACAGTGATGGCCTGTTTTTGGTCTGGACTTGGCTGCACTCCAAAGACAAATGAGGTGAATGATACACTATTTACCAGTGATACAGTAACACGCTCCTGTGCTTGCTTTGCAGTTTTGAGTTGGCTCCAGAGAAAACAGTTGTGGAACGTGTGAGAGCTAATGACCTCTCCAGTACGGCAGGTAATTCTACATGTTGTCTTTGGCTTCAGAATGGGTCCATTAAGTTAAATCATTAAAGAAACAAAACGCATACAGTGAAAGTGACTTTTTTTTTCTTTTCTTTTTTTTTAATCATTATAAAGGAGCAAATTTGAAGTGTTTCCTTTCTTATTCTGCCCTTGTATTGCTCCTGTGCTCTCATTGCTTTTAGCATCAAAACAGCAGTCATTAGAAATGGTTAACAATAGTACATTGTGATCAGAGATTTGCTACCTTGCAACACAGATGACCATGTGCTCTTGAATGTTGTGTATAATTTTGATGTACTTTCTTTCCCTCTGCTCCAGCTCTGACTCCTCCAGCCACTCCTCCCCACCAGGTGTGGAAACCTCTGGCCCCTGTGGCCCTGCTGGGGAAGAGCAAGGCCGCTGAGGCCTCCAAGTCGAGCCCCTCCAAGGTTATCCAGATAGAGGCTCGCCCACTGCCCACAGTGAGGTCCCGCAGTAAACCCACTCCTGCCGCCACCACTGTAGACCCCGACTTGGCATGCATGGACCATGACTATTGCATCCCCAACAAAGGCACTTCCACTGGAGAGCCAGGCAAGCGCTGGAATGTCAAACAGCAATCTTTTATCACTATTAAACCCATCAAGCAAGCCGCTACAGCCACCACACAGACACCAGCTGCGCTGGCATCGTCTGTCCCGTCTACCACAAACCTTGCCGTTACAACCAAAACACAAAGTTTTCCACTGACAGAGCCCCTGGATCACAGGACAGATGAGATGGAGGGGAGCTCTGTACTGGAAACTCCTGATGCTTCTCCTGCACGAGAGGAGACCGATTCCGCTGTTAAAGAGAGCCACAGGAGAGGGCCTTTTGGGAGGGCCTACCGTCAACGTGCTGCCTCTCGCACACCCAGCCCCGGATCTAGCCCCAAAGAAAGGACTGGAGGCCGACCTAGAAAAAGAAGATCCCACCGTTCTCCCAGCCCTATGTCCAGCAGCTCAGAGTCAGACTCTCATTCCTCTAGATCTCGGTCAAGATCACGGCCTCCATCTAAGAAAAGGTTTGGCCCTTTCTCAAAACATCTAGATGATGCAGCCTCTTAATACTGGTTTCTAGGAGGTATGCTTTTCTTTGTTCCTCACCGGCATTCCTTCCTTTTCTTCTCTAGGTATCGCCCCCGTCACTCTGAGAGCAGTTCCAGCTCCTCATCCCGCTCCTCATCTCGGTCCTCTCCCTCTGTGTCCTGCTCCCCTCCCAGGAGGAGGAGGTATTCATATTCCTCCTCTCGTTCTGGCTCGTGGAGTCGCTCCAGGTCACGATCTCAATCCCCTCGGAGACAAGCACAGTGGAGCAGAAACAGTAGATTGTACAGGTACAGTTTATGAATCATGCTCATCTGGGTGGGAGTCCTTACATGGATTTTCCAACTGTTTCTCTTGTGCATTACAAATACTTTGATGCACAGTAAAAAAAAAAAAAAAAAAAGACTAAACGCTTCATCTTGTCTTCCTCAGTCCCTCATATAGACCTGGCTATGGTCACAGTGAAAAGATGGATGTGCAAGAGGTGAAGAGACGCAAGGAAAAAGCCATTGTAAGTTTATTTTTCTTGGACTACACTAGTACAGTTTGAGTAAGCAAGTTATGTTATATTGTAACATTCAATCACCTGATTGACTCTTCCCTCAGGAGGAGCGCCGGGTTGTTTACGTTGGTCGAATTCGGGGTACGATGACCCAAAAAGAACTTAGAGAGCGCTTCACTTTATTTGGCGAGATTGAGGACTGCACCCTGCACTTTAGAGACCACGGGTAAGTCCATAAACGGCAAGAATTACACATGCATATATTTCTCTGTTTGCTTGTGTAATGAAGGATTGCAGTTGGAATTTTAATAAGGCTGCAAATTGCACTGTCTTTGAACCTTTTTGGTCTTGTCAGTGACCTCTTAGGCCAAGCTACAGTGCTAAAGCAAAGTTAGGCTTGTTCATAACTGGAGCTTCCTGGCAACACCCCCAGGCCGCTCTTTTAAAAGCAAGCCACAGCTCAAAACTGTACAAGACCTGTTCCTTCACTAGACCTCTGACAATCTGTAAACAAACACAGGCTAATATTTTGTTTCTGTCACAGGGACAACTATGGCTTTGTGACCTATTACGACACCAAGGATGCTTTCAGGGCCATTGAAAATGGAAGCAAGCTGCGCAAGCCTGATGAGCTGCCATTTGATCTCTGTTTTGGTGGACGGAGACAGTTCTGCCAGACGGGCTATTCTGACTTGGGTAGGTGTGGCTTTAAAATCGACAAGACGCCACAAAAGTTCCTGTAGCTCCTACCCAGAGCACTGTTAACCTATTCAGACAGTATTGATGTGGTTTGCAGAAGATTGAAGATACTGACTGCAGTTCATCCTGATACAGTGTGTTCACCACAAGCTAAATGCAGCTGAGAGCCATTGTACTTTGTGAAGTGCTGCCAATAACTCCAAAACTTGGCAGATAACATGCCCGCTGTTTGAAAGGATGATCACACAGCAGGAAGAAGGCAGACATATTGTATATTATATTGCATAGTGTCCTTTAGTGTGATGTCTGTGTTTTTAAAAGAGAGGTACTTGTTAAATGTATACATTAAGATATAGAATGTTGAACATTTGACAGTTCTTTAGCTTTCATACAGTCACAGTCTCTTTTATGGCTTTTAGTTGCTAGCAGGGCTATAGCTAACATTACAGAGACCCAGGTCATATCCTCTGCATTGATTTTGTGAATGTGGAGGTTTTATTGACGCAACCAGTATGAATGACATTACACACACATTACACATGATGGGTTGATTCTGGGGTTCCTGACTCATCACTCAAATTTTACTTTTTATTTATTCATCATGTAGGGCGATAAGGTTTATTGAGTAATCGGTATTCATTACGACATTCTTACACAGGTACTCAGTTCTCATTGGACCACACCCATATTCAAACTGCATCTTCCACAGTTGTGACGCTATCGGGCAAAATCCGTCGCCCACCCATGCTTGCGGCTGGTAATAAATGTGGAAATTAAGTCATCAGACGTGTGTATGTGTGTCTCATCATGGAAAAATTATGGTCCTGGAGACACCAACTGTAGTTTGACCTATTACCACAGAAGTGGTTTTGGGTACTTAAGCAAGTATTTGCCTGTCTGTGGACAGATTTTGTCACCACACTAACATCACAACTGTGCAAGATACAGTCATGAAACTTAGTGGACATTAAAATGAAGGTGATTCAGAGATGAGTGTGTACTGAGTACTCCTGTAATACCGTAGTAATGACTCATGGGTCAGAACATGTTGATGGGCATTGCTCCAAACACAAGATGGTCTCTAGTTTGTTTGGTGACGAGTCAGACATTCGGGATAGGTTGTGCTGGGGTTGCACTCATCACATAATAAAATTGTGGCTACACCCATGGTTTTTAGAGTCACATCAAGCTTTTGAAGTAGTTCAACCCAAATGCAGCATGTACTGTTATTCTTGTCCCTTTTTATTTGTATATGATGCTGACCTTCTGTCCTTCTCTTTTCAGATTCGAGTAGAGAGTATGATCCATTGCCTGTGAAAGGCAAGTTTCAAGCACTAGACTTCGACACTTTACTAAAGCAGGCCCAGCAGAACATGAAGAGGTAACAAGAGGCCTGCAGCAGGAAGCAGCTCACACTTACCTCAGAGCCAACAGCTGGCTCCCCACCTGCAACACTGTCATTACATTTTAGTTGTTGCATTACTTTTCTTTTGTTTGTTTTGTTTTGTTTCTGCAAGCTAACACCTTCTATTGAAGTGAAGATTTGTAATGAAAGTAGTAAAAGACGTTAAAAAAAAAAGGAATAAGTGAAATAAGATAATTTTTTAAAGTTTATTTAAATGTACAATCAATTTGAATTGTATGGAGAGAGAGAGAGAGAGAGAGAATCATTTTTAAAAGGGGAAAAATAAGTGGAATGGAGCTCCCTAATTCTTGGGAGAGGATGTAATACATTTAAATGTACTACAAACCTAAATTAAAAAAGATAAACTGAAATGTGTTGCTTCTTTCACTCCAGCTCACCTGTGTCTTTGCATTTGTCACTGTTTGGTCACATCTTTAAAAACATAAAATATTTGTCAATACTTCACACAAGACATTTTGTCAAAGCATGTGTAAAAACTGAATAAATGATGGCTGAGTTAAATTTTGCTGCTTCAATTTCAGGGTTCTGGTATAAACCTTTTTTCATATTTCATGTTCATCATAGCAGGATAAGTACATGTGAAACAAATTTCATTAACCATGACTGTGAGCCAACATTTTAAATACCAGGGCCCTGGCACTAGCTCAACTAAGTGGAATACTCTCATATTTGTTTTAATTTTATCTGTGCTTTTCATGCTATGGCATGCCAAAATGTCTGCAAATGTTGACCACACGCACTGTCACAGCTTGCATGGAACAAAAGAACAGAGCTCTTTAATGTTAGTAATGCCTGAGGCTTTAACTACTATGACAAGTTTAAAAGTCTGATATGAAAAAGTCATATCACATAATGCACCAGCTTTCATTAACTAATGCACATCTGTGATTACTTTGGGTAGTTAATTACTCTATTAGAAGTTCTGTTTAATTATGTAAAAGTATAATTGGACATGTCCCCGTGATTTAGAACAAAGCGTGTACTTTGCTGACACAGGAAGCACAGGCTCAGGTCAAAACAGATGAGCAGCACCTCCCCTCTTTTGAATGTGCTGTTGGAGCTCAGCTACATACCTAATATGGACTGGAATCTCAAGATATTAGAAAGCCGTAGAGATAGTCAACACAGTCACTGAACGGAGCAAGTCAATGTGGTAAACTGGTGTTGAATTTTCAAGAATTTCAGGAATTCTGTGGACTATTATTAATCTGGTTTCTTGATAACTCAGTGCGATGTTATTTCTTTATTAATCACAATTAAATAAAAAGTACAAATTATTAAATGTTTATGACACCATGTATCGTAATGAAGATATTTTATTCACTTGCGAAGTCTGTCATTTGACTTCATTCATCAATAGTCCGTTTGCTGCAATGCATGATTACAAAAACAATTTTAACTTTTACAACGTTGGCTATGTGCTGATGTTTTGATTATAAATGTCATCTATCTCTTTGCCACGGTGACATCTTTGCAGTGTTTTGTCACGGAGATCTAGTTTTGACTGGTTTAATCTAGTCTTAGGAGCATGCGCACTCGGTGTAAACAGGAAGAAACGACTAAAACCAGGGCAAATCTACCATAAAGAGAAGAAAATGATCGGAGAAAAACGACCGAACGGCTTGTTCTTCTTTAAATATTAAACAACATAAATGATGTCCTATACCACCTGTTAGCAATTTCGATTGCATCTTGTAGAACCAGTGACTACATTTTGGACAGTTTTGATAGACTCGCTGATACCATACGCTAGCTAACGTTAGACAGACAGTGACGCGATCTATTTCCTCCAGGTTTTGCTTGGTTGAATCTGCTGCTTAACTACATTAAAAAAATTACTCGGTGCTTTCTGCATTCTTCTGAGTTTGTTGGGTTTTCGTCGAGGGAAATCTCTAACAATGGTACAGAAAGAAAAAACGTTAGAGGCGCCTCAAGTGGAGGGCGAGCCGAGCCCCAGCCCAGTCTCCGGAGATTCTTGTGCCGAGGCCCCTGGCCCAGTGGAAGAGTCCAGCATTGGAGTCGAGCCGACGGGCCACAGAAAATTCATAAGTGGAGTCGTGGAAGGTAATATCGATTATATAAGACTACAACATTCAAGTCTGACGTTTGATCCGCTTGTGGTCTGCATGCAGTCATATATAGGCCATCAAAATGCTGCAGCAATCCTCCTTCCTGAGGGGCACGATTATTGGTATAAACTGGAAATAGTCAAGTGTACAAATGATAATCAATTTTCAATTGTCTATTAACACAAGGGAAGATTGAACAAAAAAACATATGTTTCAAATCAATCGTGAATGCAGATTGTAGTTCAGCATTGTCGCATGTCGTTGACGGGCAGATCGTTGAATTTATATTGAATTACCACAGGTATTAACAGGTGATCAACAGTAATTCCAGTGTTGATCACAAAGATTCATGTTGATAGTAATGTGCCAAACAAAAATACCAAACACTGAAAGGTTACACCTTCATTAAGAGGAAGAATGATTTGCTTTTGTTACTGTCATTATACAAATTGTGTTTTGTGTAGTTTGGACTATTAAGCCATACTCTTCGCCTCTAGTAAACTGGCCATTTGTCATACTGTTGACAATTCCTGAACAAAATGGTTAATACAGAAAAACTGTAACAGTCAAAAAAAAACATAAAACAAATGCATGTCTAATGGCCCTAACAGCCCTGCCCGCACCTAGGGGCACATTGTTAGTTGTATCAGTAAAAGCAGGTCAATATGCACAGGAAATTTTGTTGATTACCAGCACTGCAGACAGCATGGGAACTGAATGTATTGTTTACTGATGCAGGCTTTTACGGTCGACCATGGACAATGGAACAGAGGAAGGAGTTGTTCAGAAGGTATGATGAACTATGTGAATTATTTAAGCACGCATGTTCTTAATATTCGTGGCCGTATATCTAGATGATTTCAGTTGTTATACTGAGTTTGTACAACACTGCATTTCACAGGCAGCAGAAATGGGGACTGAATACATACCTTTATGCACCCAAAGATGACTACAAACACAGAATGTTCTGGAGAGAGCTTTACTCAGTGGAAGAAGCAGGTGACTTTTCAGAACATTTCTTGGGATTGGCTGTCTTGGGGCAAGGAAACTGAACAATATCTGGTTATCTAAGTTTAATGAAAGTCTGAATATTCCAGTGTTAAACCTGGTTGGAATGTGACTCTTTCTCTGATTTTACATAAATTGTTATAAAAGCACCAAAATGTATTCAGTGAGTGACCCCCCCCCCCACACAACTTTCTTTTAGAGCAACTTATGACTTTAATTGGTGCTGCCAAGGAGCATGGGATAGAGTTCATCTATGCCATTTCCCCTGGACTAGACATCACCTTCTCCAATCAGAAAGAGGTTTCTGCACTCAAGAGGAAACTTGATCAGGTATTGCAAGATTTCGTGTGACAGGAGCATTGACAATGTGTTGATAGAAGAATTCCATACATCTTACCTTCTGCGTTCATTTCAAACCCCCTTCTCTTTCCCCCTCAGGTTTCTCACTTTGGCTGCAAGTCATTTGCCTTACTTTTTGATGATATTGACCACAACATGTGCCCTGCTGATAAAGAGGTGTTCAGCTCATTTGCACACGCTCAGGTTTCCATTACGAACGAAATCTACCAGTACCTGGGAGAGCCCGAAACCTTCCTCTTCTGTCCCACAGGTACCTCAGCTCTTTGTTTAAATCCATCCACATTTTACACAAATGGTTGATCCATTTATTTATTCATTATTTTTTTATTTTTGTTTCTTGAAATATAGAGTACTGTGGGACTTTCTGCTACCCAAGTGTCTCTCAATCCCCCTACCTCCACACAGTAGGAGAGAAGCTCCTACCTGGCATTGATGTGCTATGGACAGGTGAGGCTAACACAGTTTCTTGTCAACCGACTAACACCATTACTATTGTTAAGCATACAGTCATACGCGTTAGAGAAGTAGATGGAATGTTAAACTCTGATATGTTTTTCTGCAGGCCCCAAGGTTGTGTCCAAAGATATTACAGTGGAATCAATTGAGGAGGTGTCAAAAATCCTAAAAAGAGCCCCAGTGATCTGGGACAACATTCACGCAAATGATTATGACCAGAAGAGGCTTTTCTTGGGTCCATACAAGGGGCGCTCCACAGAGCTCATCCCCAGACTGAAAGGAGTCCTCACCAACCCAAACTGCGAGTTTGAGTCCAACTTTGTAGCGATCCACACTCTGGCCACCTGGTACAAGTCTAATATGAATGGCGTGCGCAAGGATGTGGTCATGAGTAAGTATGATTATGGTGAGGGTACAGTGTGATCCCTCTGTATGGTGTTACACTGTCTTGTGGTATCAGAACGCAGGTCATTTATCATTGCTGTGTTTTTCTGTGTTTGATTAGCGGACGGTGAGGACAGCACAGTGTCCATCCAGATCAAGTTAGAGAATGAGGGCAGTGATGAAGAACTGGAGACAGACATGCTCTACAGCCCACAGCTTGCTCTAAAGCTGGCTCTCACAGAATGGCTTGGGGAATTTGGTGTGCCTCATCAATACAACAGTACGAGCAGTCCCATTATGATGTCATATCTCTATGCTAATGGTTTTATTTTATTATTAATTCCGAGCAGTATAACTTGAATTAGGCTCATAACATCGTCATTGATAGCCTAAAATTATAGTTTTATGTCAGGCTGAAGAACACAATGTAGTAAAACTGTACTCTGTCTGTCAGGCCGACAGGTGCCTCAGAGTGGTGCCAAAGGCACAGCCATAGACGTGTCATCCATGGCTGCTCCCTCTCTCTGCTCCTCCACAACAGTCACGACTGTGTTCCAGCAGCCCATCATGTCTCCAGCCATGCCGCCTCTCTGTCTGGATCCACTCTCACACCCCATGGCAAAAAGACCTCAGGAGGTAGAGGAGGTGAGGTTTATTGTTATTCACACAGAATTGTACCATTTTAATAACCTGCATGAGTACTGTACACTTCTCAGAGGAATCAGGCTTTTCTATTTATGTGAATATATTGTAATTTATACAGTTAAAATTACTTATTAGGCCCTTGATTTAATAAGCAACTGACTACATAATGACTGCTAGTGTTCATGCACACCCCTCAGTTCTTTTGAATGCCTTCTGATCAAGTTCTTGGCTCAGTTTTTTTTTCTAATTTGTTTGGTAAAATACAGAAAATTCATTTTCTTTCTTTATCATTTGTTTATTGGAGAGGAAAGCATCTGTCAATGGTTCTCCAAGTATTTTTATACTGCACCTGTGCAGGTGGAGGTGGAGAAGAAGGATTCAGATGAGGAGCCCATGGAGATGGTGGTTGAGAAGCAGGATGAGCCAGAGGCTGAAGCTGAAGCGGACCCAGAGGGGAAGCATGTTGGTCCTATCTTAGCTGAGAAGATGGCTGAGGACCTGAAGCCCATGGATACAGACAAGGAGAGTCTGATAGAGTCAAAGTCCCCTGAAGAGTCACTCCAGGAAGACTCTGGGAGTGATATTGCCCCTATGCAGACAGATGATCAGCTCAAACAAGTTCCGCAAACATTTGTGAGTCTTTTTTTTTCTTTCTTCCTCTTATGTCTGAAATTGAACACAAAAAAAACTTTGAGTTCCCCACAGAGTTAACTTAAAACTGGTTTGTCTCCTCAGGATGTGTTTGTGCCTGGGCCCAATGAGAAGCCCCTGTTCACAGCAGAGCCCCTCACACTCGAGGACCTGAGCTTGCTGGCAGAGCTCTTCTACCTGCCTTATGAACATGGACCCAAGGCCATGCAGATGTTAAAGGAGTTCAACTGGCTGCGCGCCAACAGCAGTGTCGTCAGTGTCAACTGCAAGAGAAAGGAAACTGAAAAGGTGGGTTAATACACTGAAATAAACCCATGGACTGATTAAGAAGTAAGAGAAAGGGGTCTGTCTGAAAAAACTAGTTCATCATTTACTGAACTTCCTTATGGTAGTGTTCATTGCTGAAAACAAAATGGTGGCTGTGTACTACCCATACTGCCCATTGGGTGGTGTGGTTATGACAGGAGATGGAGTGTGCCTGCACTACAGAGTACTGTGTTCTGTGCTCCCCCTTATTAAACCACCAGTCTTCTCTCTGAAGTTTGCTTATCACAGTCAGAAAAGTTCAGAGTTAAATAATAAGATGAATGATGTCATGTCCAAATTATCATGTCACAATGGGGCAGCAAATAAAACAGAACCATTGTTTTTATCATAAGTAACACCTGTGCGTCTTTTCTCAACATTGTTTGTTCTTATTTCCAATCACTGTCTGGCAGGTAGCAGAATGGCAATCAAGGGCTGAGAAGTTTGAGGAGATGTGCTGCTCCGTCATCCAGATGTTCACGCGGCTGTCCAATTCAGCCAACCGCACCATCCTGTACGACCTCTACCCTTACATCTGGGACATCAAGAGCATCATTTCTATGGTCAAGTCTTTTGTCCAGTGGCTAGGTATGTATGAGGGGAACCGTGAGCTGCTTTCTCCTAGAGCGCAGTAGCATAGCAGTAGTCTCATCAAGTCTGGTAATCCTGACTTTTGTCATTTTCAGAGACACATTTACTATTAAAAAAAAAAGTCAGATTATATAAAGAAAAAGCACTTTTTATGATTGATTGTTTAACTGCATGGATTATGTTGCAGTCCAGTGCTATGTAGTTTAGTGAGGCAAATTTATAATACACTTATCTTGCTCAGTCTGCTTAACAGATGATAGTATTACTGATCACAAACTTACAGAAATATGGCTCTTAGAGAAATATGACATAGAGAAATATGGCCATCACCTGTATACAGGGTGAGAATCTGAGTAGTGTCTAATACCATAGCAAAGATCAGGCCAGATGCATCACCTCTTAATAGTTACAATTCTATGAATTGCTCTTGTTTCACACATGTTGTTTGTTTTCTCTTTTTTTTTTTTTTTTTTGTCTGACTGAATGCCGCTTGCACTGCTAGCATCGTCCTTATTTATTCCATAACAAGCTGCTCCATTTTGGTGATATGTAAACTGGGTCTCTGTGGCAAACGTCCCAGCAGGGTTACTGCTGCTTGCTGTGTATCCAGTAACATCACTGCTGCATTCCCACACAGACACACTTGCTTCCATCTCTCTGTCTGTGGGGATGGGTGCCAGGGGGACGTCCCTACCCCCCCCCACTTCCTCCTCCTCCATGCCCTAGCGCGCACGCGAGCTTGGAGAGCAAGTTGACTGACTGACTGTGGAAGGCCATTCTTGTGCATAAACTCAATCAGCTAGTTTGAAGATGAACCGTATGGATATATTACGGGAGGTTTTGCGTTGTTGCCTCACTGAGTAGTCTCTAAACTGAGGCTGCACTGTGATGCACTCAGCCTTGTGATAACATCTCCATCTTTTTTTGGAGTGTTGTTTTGGATAGTCTGAAGCACCAGCATGGCCTGTAGGTTACTCCCTGTAACCCAGTTTCATTCACAGGTTTCTGTCCTGTCCGGCTATATGGTAAAGCTGAGGACTCTAGCCCACAGTACACAGCAGGCAGCATACCCGCACTGGCAAAGCCACATCAAAACTCCACACTACTGATTTATTGCATCAGTAAATAATTGTAACCACTCTAGTAACATTGTGGAGTGTACAAATATATAGCTATCTTTGAATATTCTTCTTAATAACTGGAGTGTTGTTAAATGCCTAACTGTTGACTTCTGCTGTTGCTATTAGCAGGTTTTTACATCAGTCCCCATGTCTTCCCTTTAATAGAAGCTGTGCAGCCGGCACTCAGTCACAACCTCCCTGGTTATTGTACTGAGAACACTTACTAATAACAATTTTCTACTGTTTTCTCCCTTCACTATGTACAGATGGAAGAATCCACAGTACAAGTTTCTACTGCTATTGGATCGACAGTGGCCGATGTATGCCCAGTGCAGACGTTGTCTCTTTGTTTTGTTCATGTTTGAGACAGATTTATGTTTTGTTTTTTTTTTTCTTAAACTAGATCTATAAATGTAAAAGATTGATTTGGAGGAAAGGAAGCAGCCTTCCAGATGAAGTCACATTTTGGGCAGCGATTTAGCTTTGAATCCTAAGTGTTAACTCCCAAATTTCTCTCTTTGGCAGCTTCTCTCTAACATGTTTTTTTGTTTCTGTCAGTAGGCCTATAGAAAAGGCTCAGACCAGCCTGATGCACCTACTCAAGGGAATTTACACTTGGCTTTGAAATTTAACCATGGCACATGATCCTCATCCTACTCAGGGATATATTTCTGACTGCGTAGTTACGATCATTGTGTTCACACACACGTTGGTTGGTTTTCTGCAGGACTGTGATTGTGTTAAGACAATACAGTCTGAATAGATAATTCAGGTGGAAGTGAAACCACTAAGAGATCATTCTTTTGTCCCGTTTTTGTGGTGGTTAACTTTGGGAAAGCAAGTTCAGAGTTCCTTCCCGTGGGTGCATCTGCATGCTGTGTTGTGTCAGCTCGTCAGAGGAATTGCTTTAGGTATCAGGGCGAGGTTCATATTTAAGGCAGTGTTAGGTGTCCTGCCCGCGCGCTGCATTTGTCTGGTCACATGACAGGACTCCTCATCAACCTGGGTTAGACTTTGTTGAGAGCCACATTAATGCATACAAACTCTTAAGAGGCCTGAGTGCTTTAGATATATACTCCTTTTTATATGCTTTGTCCCCTCTATCTATTTCATCTGTGGTTTGTCTGACTTTGGCTTTTAACAGAAAGCTGAGAGGCCCTTTAACACAGGGAATGCTCATGCTACCTCTTACTCGCGGTCTGTCTCCCTGGTTTGATGACTCATGCTCCCCAGTCATGTGACGAGGCAGATAAGATGAGAATGTGACTTCACACGGGGTGCTAAGATCAGTGGGGTGACGGCAGCTGAAGCTTACTTTTGTAGTCTATAGGCAGTACAGGTTTTGGCTCTGAAGGTCAGTACAATATTTATGGAGTCTGTCAGCTTTTCAAATGATTATCACCCTTATTGAAACACCAAAGGGGGCTGAACTGCACTTGACTCTGTTCTCTCTTCAGTTTTTGATGGAGAATGCGTTCCACTGCATGAAAGATTTATTTCTAAATACCTGCATACCATGTTATGTGGAGCAGTGTGACGTGTTGTATTGACACAGTGTTGTCATTTGTTTTTTGAACAATTAATATTTTGGACCTGATTCTTTGCTACAAACACGTAAGCTTTAGTTGCTTGAGCCCCATTTTACCTTAAGATCTTTCCTCTGAATATAAGTTATCTATTCCAAATTAGGTCCTTTTTTATGTTTTAATGATTAAAACAAAATAAATTTATTTATATGGATTATGCTAATAGATACATATGACCCCCTTCCTCCCCATCTCCCCATTCCCTTCATCTGTGTCAGAGAGCCCCATCCTGTGGTAACAATGTCCGCTTGGCTCTGCTCCTAACAGGGTGTCGTAGTCAGTCCTCAGCACAGTTCCTTAGAGGAGACCAAGAGCCCTGGGCCTTTAGGGGAGGTCTAGCAGGAGAGTTCCAGGTATCTAATGCACTGAATTTACAGCAATCAAATGGAAAAAAAAAAAAGAGTGTTGTGAGCAAAGACGACTATGGTAATGTGTGCGTAGGTATGAAGGGCTTTGGTCTGTCGAAGGTGAGCTGATTGGAATGGGTCGGGCTTCTTAACATTTGAGTTCCATCCCCTTCACTTGTTCGCCAAAGAAGTTCATGGCCTTGTATTACTTTGGGATATTGTCAGTCTGTGTGAGGGGAATGGGTGACCTGAAACCCATCCTGACAAAACAGGTTTACAGCCAATGTTTGGCATGATATTTTCTGATTGATTAATTTCAGTTTCTTTCAGCAACTGCCCAAGGAGATGCTGCTTTTCCCTGGCGCACGCAGCGCAAGCGAGCATGGCTAGGTTTTATTTTCATGACATCTCATTTCTTTGCAGGAAAGCACAGCGCACAAATTACCAAGCCAACCCTTTGCAAGCGCACGCACAAAGCATCGCAGCGCCAGCGAGTACGCAAGCATGTTTGCAATGGGAAAACTCCATGATCAAACACAGCTGTCCAGCCTCAAAGTAACATCTCCATCCTTGGAGAGTAGCAAGACTCATGATGGCAACTGAAGTGCTATTGAATGACTCAGTTAGCTCACATTTAATTTGCCTCTTTGGTTTTTTTCCTGGAGTTCTCTCTGTCTCTCTGCGCCAGCATCATTATTTTTCTCAACAGGAGGGTCCTGCGCAGCGAAATATTGCGATGCCTTACAAAAGGGAAAGGAGCATCTCCTTCAGCCAGTAAAACCTTAGTCAGACCAAAATACCACCCTTTATTATATTTGAGAAGCAAATATGTATGTGCTTGTTGTGCTATGCTCCTTTTAACAAAAATGAGAAACGTGATGTTTGCTCTTGTTGTCCATTGTCAGATCAACAAGGAACATCAGTTTATATCTTCTTTTTTTTTAAATATTTGTCATTCCAAAGCATTTTGCTCTCTTCTATAGTTCCTTTTGGTTTGACAGCGGCTCAACTGTAGCAAATGCACAGTGAGGCAGTCAGCCAAAGCAGCACACCGCCTTGTCTCAGTGAAACTGAACCTGTTTCTTTTGATGCCCACAGAGATTGTTGCCAATAGATGGTGCAAACGATCTTTTCTACCAACCTCCACCTTCAATGCCAACCTCCAAAATCTATTCCATAAGGCCATACTTTCCCAAAGATGAGGTAAGATGTTTGTGTGTTTAGAGGTGCCCTTGTGCACCTTCATTTTGCCAGAAGTCATGTATTTTGTCCTTAAGTGCCAACAGTTACTAAGCATTAATAATGTTTATTAATGTACGGTTGAAGAATTGATGTTTACCAGTTACAAGTGTTCCCAGCAGACCTGGCCTAGTTTAAGCTTGGAATGTTTTGCTCCACAATGCTAATGCTAATGCTCCGCAACTGTTATCTGTATATCAGCAAATATATGTGCTGAATGTAAAGGCAGCTTCAGACTGTGTTTCTCCAAAATTACTTTATGCACATTGCGTTTCTTTGTGGAATTTTCTGGTTTATGCTTTGGCTTGTATATCCAATGTTAAGAGGTGTGTCAACTCATCCACCACAATAAGAGGTGTATCGGTCCTTCTTTTTGCAGGGTGCAGTTTATAAAATCTGTAAAGAAATGTACTGTGAAGGAATGGAGGATGCACCTTTCTCTGATGACGATCCTGACCTCATAGGAGACAGGTAAGGATTTATGTGTTTGTAATCAGCCCAGACTAAAGACTGTACAATCCACATGGCTGACAAAATCCTTACTGTTTGCTCACAGGTTAGTGGGAGGTCTCCTGACACTGAGCTCAGACTATGGGTTTGTGCTCGAGGATGATGAAGGGATCTGCGGTTATGCTCTTGGAACTGTGGATGTCAAGCCCTTCATCAAGAAATGCAAGTTGAACTGGATTCCCTTCATGCAAGAGAAATACCACAAGCCTGACTGCCAGAAGGACCTCACAGAGGCTGAGGTAGGGTCTTAATCCATCTTTCTTACTGTCATTAATCCATATCATGTGGATTGACTGTGTGGATTGTGTCTCCTATTGCTGAATTTTATTTTACCATGTCTGTCTGTCGTCCCTGTAGAAAATGATGCTGAGTTTCCACGAAGAGGAGGAGGGTCTTCCAGACTCTTTCCTCTCCAACTTCCCCTCTCTCATTAAGGTTGACATTCACGCCAAGGTCACTGACCCCAGTGTGGCCAAAAGCATGATGGGGTGTCTTCTATCTTCTCTAAAGGCCAACGGTAGGTGGCGGTCATGATCAGTTATGACAACAATGCTCATTGATACTGCTTGTACTAACTACAGAAAGACCATATTGTATTAGTTTTATTAGTCATGTTAGGAACAGGCTGTTAGAATATTTAATTTGACTTAAGAAAAAAAAGTGTAAATCAGTACATGTATTTCAATGAGTGTTACTTCAGCTGTGTCTCTAAAGCTGAAAACAAGCAGGCTCAGTGATCTTATCTAGCTGTACTGTGAAAATGAGACCAGAGACCAGAGCTCGGTTTTCAGAAGACAGTTTATCGATGTAATGATAAAATGCATCCCTTTTATGATTAGGACCTTAAGTGTGGATGTTCTGTTTGTCTATTTTAATGTCTGTTTAGCAAGTAATGTAAATCAAACTACAAAAATGCACCTTGAGCTATCAAAGCACCAACCAAAATAATCTCTTCCTGTGACAGAGTTCTTGAACCGATTTATTAGCGTTCAGGGATGCAGTAGAGGATTATTGTCAGCTGAACACCATATTTGGCAAAACTGGTTTTTGGGAACATTATTTTTAGGATTTTATTTTTTACTGACATAGTTTTTATCTTTCGCTTCCAGGGTCCCATGGTGCATTTTGCAAGGTTCGTCAGACTGATAAGAGAATGTTGGACTTCTATAGTAAGCTGGGATGCTTTGAAGTGGCCAAAATGGAGGGCTTTCCCAAAGACATCATCATTATGGGACGCAGCCTATGAAGAAACGTCCTGCTACAATGAAAGACAGAGAGAGCAAGTCAACGCGGCTCAAACATGTTTGCTACCTTCATGAGAAAAAACTTCCATGATGATTTTATACTACATTACCATCTGGGCTAGCCCCGGGAGACCTCTTTTTAGGATTTGTGTACAGAAGCACAGCAGTCGCACACACAGATTCCCTGTGCTGCCCTTAGATGCTATGGCTCTGTTGGATTCAGCAGATCCGAAGCTAAAAGGCCGAGGAGTGATGTGTAGTCAGATGATTTGAGCCAACATGGAAGAGTGGCACTCCAGTACTGATTTCTGGGGTCCCACTACTCATATACCTCCAGGAGGCAGGAAGCGATAACTCCATAAGCCTTTTACTGATTTAATCCAGTAGCCATTACATGGATTTTGCCCGCATGCCCTAACGCAAAGTGTCTGTATCTGAAATGGAGGCAGAGCTGTGAAATGAGGGCGGCCTGTATCTCAGGTAGTGGCTCACTACCCCCACGTCCTGCTTTCCCAGCTTTGACGTAGAGAATAGCACAGCTGTCGACATAAGTAGGACACCTTTATACAGGATGTGAGGTGCTATGTGAGAGTTTGCCTTTCATCATCACATCATGGTATTTCCAGTTCCTCCACAATAGACATGGAGAAAGATGCCTTTTAAGTGGCGTATTTCTAACAAAACGTAATGTGAAATGCTGCGTCTGCACACGAGGAGGGTGAAACATTGTAGCTTTCGGGGTTCATGAAACCCTTGATAGAAGATCGTCACAGACCAGCAAAATATTTGTTGAGACTGTTGAAGACTCAACCGGGAGGCCATCTGAATTTCTGTTCAAGTAGTAGTAGACATTTGGAAAGCGACAGAAAAGCTTCCACGAGTTTACAAACATGGTTCCCAGCCTGTTTCTGTTCAGCGCTTTGCTTTTGGCCATTTGTTTCTTTTTTTGTGATTCAGCAGTTCTTTTGCTTATTTCCCCTTTGAGCTGTTGCCTTTTGGTTCATTGCCTTTGGATTTTAGGTTTATATTGCAGACCCCTAGTGTCTTTTGTGTAAACGCTGTCAAACATGTGTCAGATAAAACTAGAGAAGAGTGATTTTGAACATTGGCCTTGTTGTTGCTTAAATTCCAGAGACGTAGCCTGACATTGACAGTCACATGTCTTAGTTTTGCCCCGCCGGATCCCAAACTTCAGCACAGACATCCTTCAGTGAACCCTAGCCCTGACTGGTGGGGATATCGCTGTCAGAGAAAGCTCAGACTAGCTCAGTCTAGTTAACTTATGTAAAATTACTAAATGTTATGGAAATTTTAAGTTTTGTCTTTTATAAGTTTGTGTAAGTAGTTAAAATGTCAAGTTTACTTGTATACACAGGTCCTCTTTGAAAGAATGAAAACCAAAATCAACATTTCCTGATAGCAGTATCCAGTGGGACCAAAATCCTGGTATTCTGATCTGCTCTAGAAAAACATTTTTCAACAATTCACATTGAAATTACATGAGGTGAAATGATGTAAAATCATAAAAATATAGAAGCATTAAGCTCCCACTGTCATAAAGCTGCTCAGCTCTTCATAACCACTAATCCAAGACTTGTAAATCAACAATTGACCTGGACTGCAGTTGCAGATGTGCCATGCTATAAATCATTGGTAATCGTGAATAATCAGTTTACACCTGTCATTCGTCTTCCCTCCCTGCTCTGTTCTCAACATTGCACACTCTCAAACGAATGTCCTCTCAGTTGAGCCTTGCGAGCGCACTAAGGATCGCCGAGGCCGTTAAATCCTGTCACCAAATGTCACCAAAGTGGCACTGACTCCCACACTGTTGAACTGTATTTGTGGGGGTGTGAAGCAGATATTTCTAGGCCTTTTACTATGTGTCCGTTGAATGTTTGATATTCTGACGCATTTCCCATTTGTTTTTGTAAATCTATATAGTTGATTTAAAAAAAAAAAGAAGCACTTTGACTATAGTTAGGAGTGTTCTGTTGGTTACATGAGGATCATCAGTTGCTCTTCAGTAGCTGCCTGCCAATGTGATGTTTTGATACTGTGTACATTCATAATGTGCATGAGGTGTATTGGATTTGCTGTGGCAGTCATTAGAATAACCTCATCTTATGCTACAAAGAGGAGGAAGCATGCCACTCACCTCTATGAGCATAATACTGTAGTATGTAGACAGTCTGTTAACACTGTCAATCATAAAGTGTTATTATTTTGTATATCTTTATTGAAACTGTTGCTTGCAATTTGTTTTTCTTCACGGAAAACAAAATGCTGGCCTTGTTACAATGCCCTGTCCTGTACAGCCGTCCTACCTGGCTGTTTTTCAGCAAGGTGTGAAACTCACTAACAGATGTTACGAACGTCTTCTGAAACAACAGCAGAATTTTCACACTTGTTTTAAATGGTTAATTTTGCAGTTTTCCGACATTCTGACTTTCTCCTCTGCCAAGCGGGTTTGATAGAAAATGGGCTGTGACTAAGAGAAAGGGCTCCAATTGTACATTTTGATTATCTGAGTTTAAAGGGGACGGGGATCATACAAATGTCAGTTTACCAATGTAAAATTTGTATGTAAAATACATAAGATTAAAAACTAATAAATCATAATAAGTTACTTTGTTCCTTTGTGTGTTTTGTGCCATTTCTTTTCAGTTTCTGTTTCGACAAAGTAAATGAAGGTTGTTCCTGTACATATAGAAATATTAAACTATCTCCATTACTAAATACACTGGATAAGGCACAGCTCTCAAAAAGTTAATCTTGGTTCAATATCCCTGTTAGGGTTTTGACACACATTATTTCATTATTCCTGAGGCAAGCCCTTGTCTGGTGGATTTATTGTTAATTTATTATATTGTAATTTCTGTATTGAGTGGAATAATCTATGTACACCTGCTTCTTGGAGAGAGATTGTTCTTGATTGTAAAAGTTCTTTGGCAAATTGATAAATGCCGAGAGGCAGTTTAATTGAAATCCAAACTTTTTTCTTTTTTTTTCTTTTTTGGTTCCCTTGGCAGCTACACATCATTACAAAAAATCGTTTTATTTAATTTTTTTTAAATTTTTTTTTATTGTAATCCTTGAGTAACGTAGTAATTTAACTCTACTAATTCATGTATTAGCTCATGCAGTTAGGAAAAAAAAAAAACATGACAAGACACAGGCGCACAGTGATGACGATATAGTCATGTTTTTAGTCTGCGACGCGCTTGTTATTTTTCGTGAGAGGCTCATTTAGCTGTAACGCGTTAACAGCTAATCTAAAATATATATATTTAGTGCTTCGGCAAAATGTCTTTCCACGACGATGAATCACCGGATCTCGGACTAGCTGGTCAATCAAAGTTGGAGAGCTTCCTGTTCAGTAAGAAGAATTTAAATCCAGTTTATCAGTTTATCTCTGTCGGCGCACACGTGGGTTACTTCTGTGAATCTGCCTCGATATTTCTAAAACAAAAAAACCGACATTTTCTCAGCTATTAGCCAGCGCGCTAATTTTACATGAATGTAAAGAAACGGCAACATATTTAATCCTGGTTGTGGTTTTTTCTTCCAGGCTGCGAGCTGTCCTCCAAAGTCCCTTTCTACACTTTCCAAGGAGACGAAGAAGAGGACCTGGAGCACTTCCTTGAACTCAGAACAGTATGTACAGTTGCAGCAGAGATATTGTGTCATCACATTACCAGGGCTGCAAAAGTCCTCACTCCACTCCTGAAGTCTAAATGTGTCAAATCATACTGTGATGTGGCCAAGAGATTGAATAAATGTTGTCTAAATTAATCTCTGATTCCTGTAGATTTGTCTGGGAGAAGGCGCCAAGGAGGAGAGCAATGTGGTGGAGGTAACAGCCATGAACCACCAAGGAAAGACGATTTCAGTTCCCATCGCCAACCTTCACATCAGCTGTCTGCCCATGGTATTGTCCAATGTTGTGAATAAACTCTACACACATGCTGATGTACCACACAGCAGAGGCTGAAGTGTGATATCTCTTTACTCTTCTCTCCTCAGGTGAGTCTGGGGGAGTTTGAGCTGAAAGCCCCAGTGACCATCCGGCTCAAGGCTGGTTCAGGGCCAGTTACTATCAGCGGGCTACACCTCATTGGTAACAAAAGCCTTTTAACCCTACCAGTACTTTGTTAAACAACTAATGAACCACTGACAGTATCCCTGTTTTTTGTATGTGATTCATATCAAAAGATTATAAAAATATTAGTAAGCTGTTAAAAAGTATAAAGGAATAACTCTTAAATTCTCTGTACAACACCATCCCAACAACTCATGTCATTTCCAAAAATTAAACAATTATGGTGGTTCCCTGCTTTCAAGCTTATAAAACTAGCTTATCCACAGAAAATTAATAAGTAGCAGTTTTAATAATGTATAATTTCAGTCATTTTTAAGCAAAAATACAGCTTCTCACTGGTTTTCTTTGATTAACTGAATCCCCTATGTGAGCTCGGGTTTTGGAAAATTGTGAGATGCAGTGTTCACATTTCTTCCGACATTTTGAGAAGATCATCGAAAGATTAATCAATGCTTTGCCCGTTTGACAAATTAATGCAGTAACTAAGCAGCTAATGTAATGTGTTGCTGGGACTCTTGAAGTTCTGAAATACTTTGTTTCTATATGCAGTTTCTTTTGAATTTGACCCGATGACATGAAAGGTTAAATGTATCTTTGGGCTGTAAAATGTCAACTTTCTTTCTAAATGAAATCTAAGACCTTTGGCACAGTTGATATGTTTTTGAAAGTTTTCAAATGTAGACTGTAACTTAATTCAAAACTGTGAAATATACATTTATCAGTACTGCAGGGAAAACTCTGATCAGGATTAGACCCTATTCTTTTGACTTTACTGCTTGTAGTAATGAGTGTGTGCAGCTGCGTTTTACTAAATGTGCATGAGGTCAGTTGAAAGGGCAGATTAAATAGAGCGACCTTTCTGGCCTTATAATTAAATATAACACCAGTATTCAAATGACGACAGTGATTCAACATTGTCTCCTGTTCCCGTGCAGCCTCAGAGGTTGAAGACTCCGATCTGTCTGATGAGGATGATGAAGACGATGATGACGAGGATGAGGAGGAAGAGATCAGCCCCATTAAACCAGCAAAGAAGAAGCAGAAGCAGTAGGCGGAGAGGTCGCTGATGGGTTTTTGGAATGGCCTCACCCACTCGATGACGCGTTGTAAGAAATACCACAGATTTTTGTACCAGACGGACACATTTTACAGAGTTACTACTTCTTCCACACAGCCATGTGAATGCTTAGTGTGGTGGCAGCTAAACATGCTGTGGGAGGAAGGAACATCACGAGGGGCTCCGATGTTCTTGCCTCTCCTCTCGGTCTGAGCAGTGTATTTAACTGCGCTTAAGACATTCACTTATAGAAGAACTGTTTTTGCTATTAAATGCTACCAAGTGTTTTATACTGTATATGATACAGTCACCACTGCTGATGTGGATTTTTTGCATCAGTGGTGGAAAATGTGTCTTTTACCACCAGTGGATTCTGGTATTGTTTAAAGATGCTGTTCTTGTAAAAGTAAAAATGTGTGTGTGCGTGTGTGTACTTGTCAGACCGGAGAGGGTTTCCAGATTATGATTTCAGCTGGATGGCGCAATCAGATGATTTGCATACGTACATACGTACAGATTATTAAATGTTTCACAAGAGTGTCTCCATTTCCAGTTGTTCCAGTTTGTACTTCTAAAATACTGTTTTTCTATGTGAGATGTCATAAATGTGAAGATTTTGTACTCATAGTGAATGCATCAGTTTGTGTTCATTTTATCTCCCTTTTGAATTCATATAAATAAAACAGTCATTTCTAGCCGATTACGTTAACTATATATAGTTTATATATTAACATGGTCACTTAAGTTTAGTGCCTTCTTTGAAACGCAGAGCAAGTAGGTTTTCATGTAAACATTTACATTTACTCATTTGGCAAACGTTATCCAAAGCAACTTACAAATGAGGGACAACACTAAAGCATCAGTACGAAATCTGTTCTGTGAGGTGAAGTGCAAGAAGATCAAGTAAAGGAGTTCACCAAAAGGCCACAGTAAACACATGTAACAGAAAGCCAGCATTGTGCTGGTCAATTTATTTAACCAATTTATGACTACAGCACCACACTTAAAGCCCCTGAAAACAAATTCAGTTTTCAGTTGCAAAGTATTTCACTTTAACATTAACTATTAATGATTAAAAAAGAAAAAATCCTGAGTTTTTCAAGAGCTTAAAGGAGCTATTTGTAAGTTTTGCTATTGCTACATAGCCAACATTAGCATTAGCTTGATGTTTGGCTTACTTACCAGTCTAGAGGAAACTTTGTAAGTTCAACATCAAACTGATTCTTTTACTCACGTAGCGCTGTCTCCAGTGGCGGAAACAACCCTCTTGTTTGGCTTCGATTTCTATCACTATCTTTTCTTGCACTGAAGTTTCAGGGCCTTTAAGGTTGTAAATCTGAATTCAGTGGGATGGAAAAAGAGCAAATGAAGAAGAGCTCTCTGCTCAGACAGGTGAATAAAAACATATTTCCACTGATATCACTATGACCTAAAGTGTAAAATAATTGGCCAAGCTAACTGTAAAACACCAACAATGGACAACTCATTGGGGTGACTGAAGGGTGCCAGTAAATGGTGTGATGCCAGTTAAAGCCTCATGAAGGCAGATGTGGTTGTATCAGGTTACAGTCCACATCATCTACATACACATTACAATCCCATCTGCACTGTACAAACATCAAGTGATACAGCCCAGGAGCCGGGAAAATTACAAAGACAGATCTTACTCATTACATATATTCAGCGTTTGAAAGCGTTTCTTAGCAGTACTTTACTGCACAATAAAGGATTTATCTGGAGGATAAGCGTCAACTCCAAATAACAACAAACGTTTTGTCCGTCTGTCAGCTGCTGTTACACACATCATTTCTGTGGGGAGCAGGCTGCAGGCACCAGGCAGATAAGAATGGAGGAGATATGAGGAAAAGAAATGGGAGGAATCAGAAAAAGGAGAAGCAACACAACCGTTCCCAGCAGACAGATGACAAGGCATACTACACTTGCTTAACCAGAGAGGCTCTGTCCACCAATGCACCCCCACCATCTTCACTTGCAGAGGTGCATGGAGGAATTTGATCCTCTGAAACAGAAAGAGTGGGTGGGGAATCAACTGCTGATGAAAAACACATATTCAGCCATAAACACTCACAGCCTAATTCATACCTCTCCTACCTCTGCATGATTTGGCAGCACAACTGTGGCACAGTGGGACAGAGTCAGGAAAAGTTGAGGGAGAGAACGCTTAATAAGCCACTTTGCTGAGCGCCAAGCGTCCACAACAGGGTAACACTAACACAACTGTCCTGACACAACTCAGTCATGCCAGGTGCTGCCATGGTAACATGAGAAATGACCACCTGTGGGATGCCCTCGATGGCAGCTTTCTGTTCACAAGGAGACAGGAATGAGGCGCAAAAAGACAAGGAGGGTGGGGATGCTTTCATCAGAGGAAGCTTAAATAAATCATTTTGTACTCTTACCCAAAACTGTCCCAGTTGGTTGCCGTAGTTGCGACTCTCATCCCTCTCTCTGTGCGAGGAGGGTCATGAAACAACAGGAGTAATAGCCTGAGATGACATCACATCACCTGCTTTGGATTTTGATGGTGCTTTCGCAGATCACGATAATATCTCAGCTCTTTCAGGGTAGCGGGAGAAAGATTCATTGAATTACACACCACCAGAGTCAGACAGTCCTCGTGGTCATGTGACAGATAGCAAATCAACGTGTAACAATCCCACAACTAGTTAATGTCACTGGGGGCAGGTGCTGCTGCTTCTTATTTTCTGACTCATAAAGCACATCCATCTGGTGTGTGCTGAGTGGGAGTTTGTGAACCTTTACACCACTTTTATTGGGTATAAGGGTTTTATGGTACAGCGTCTGTGCGGCGCATTAAGTCCTCACCTTCGTGTAGAGGTTACAGCTGTGAGCAATGCTTGTTTCTGTAGAAGGAGCAGCAACACAGAAGCATTTTTAAAAGAAATTTTACTGAAAATTAGGGTTTAATCTTATATCTAATAGGAAGAGTTGGCACTCCATCAGATTTCTGTATTCTCTGCTTACCTTCATGTTAAACTTCAGTGATATTTGTGAGACGGTGGTAGCTTTCTTCTTACTTCGCACAGAATTTGATCTTTAGAGTCTTTCTCTATATATATGCAATTTAAACAGATCTATGTTTTTATGATTGTGGTTTCTAAATTCCATTCTACAGTTAAACTTCCTACATTTCTGTCTACATGACAGCGAGGACATGACCTTTTTATAGCTCTAAAAGCATAAAATTCTCAAAAACAGCCTGTTCAACATCATACAAGTCTAAGTATCGATCATATGATGTAAATCTGTCCTCGTTATTTGTATCTTCTCCTCACTGACAACACTATGATTGAAAAAAAGATGGCCTCATTAATTTCAGCACATTAAGAGAGGGTGTAGAACTGATGATCTGTGGGAGTGTTCAAGATGAAAATAAAGTACATGGATGACTAATTTTTCATTTTGGGTAGGACTTTCATACAATTGACTGATGATTGGAAAGTACCAGGCAGCACCGTGAGTATAATCAAGTAACTGTAAAAGAATCCAGCTTCATCTTTGCCAGAGGTTGGCTCTTATTCATAAATATGGATGCCGCTGAGTCACTCATTAAATAACAGAGAGGCTGTTCTCTGACCTGGTCCTGGGTGGCATTAGGCAGTGGGACAGTTTGACAGTCTGCGATATAGAAATGTTTCAGTCAGCTCGTAAATGTACTCTGATCCCATCGGGGAGCGTCAGTGTCAGAGCGGCTTAGGTTCATTGTTAAGTCCACTGTAGGGAGAGCTAGGTAGAAGAAAATGATCAGATTCATGGCCTGTCTCTATAACTAATGTGGCCTATTGTGGGCCTGTCCTAGGAAAAAATAATCAGCAGGAGAACATCTACAGTAAACTGTTCACAGTCTACATTTTCAGCTTTGCCTCCCCATCATATCTATTTTCCAAGACTAAGAAAAGTAGCCTACATCTGAACACAAAAACACTAACAGTACGCATTTACTTACTTACTTTCACCATTTAGCATTTTTAACATGCATATACTGTTCATATATCCAGTCCATTTACAAGCGCACAAGTGTTCCAGTAAGGAAGACGATTCTGGAAAGTTATTTTAAACAGAAAGAGAAACATCATGTCCCTATATTGAACCCGAGAGAGGAAAAGCTGGGGATTTTCTGGCGCCTGTGCAATAACTCTAGAAAGACAGTTGACTGGAGATTTTGACTGCGCCTGTCTGTATTTACTGCTGCAACACGCTCCCTCTGAGCACATGGAGACCTTGTGTTGAGTTTCTGTCAGTTTTATCTGGCCCAAAGCGATGAAAAAGCTGGTCGATGTGGCAGACAACAGAAGCAGAAGTAGCAGAACTAATTGTCACGTAGACATATCTGTTCTACTTTTAAAAAAGTGCCACTTTCTACTACAGCCTTTAGAGAAAGGCAGTGGAGGAAACAGTGAATATTTTCTCTAAAATGTAGTTGAACAAATGTGTTAAGCTGCAATATAATAATAATAATAATAATAATAATAATAATAATGCAATAAAGGGAAAAACCAAAAAAACTCGAATTTATAGTTATAAATAAACTAAAATCTTGAGTAAAAATACACTTGCACTTGCATGTGTCACTCCAGTGCCCAAAGTTACTATGGCAACAGCTGAAGCACGCCACTTTGCATTCTCACTCTAAAACTGATACAGCTGTTCTCCACAGAGTGACTCTGAAATGCCCTTTAATTCTGATCTGATGTGCCTGCCGTGTTCACATGTAGAGACACATTTGCGATGGTGCAGCTCACCTGCACACGCCCTTCCTGTCTTTGCTTATTTCACTTACATACATTGTTTTCATGTTGCCTGTTTCCCTTCGGCTGAAAGTCAACAGAGGACTGGTTTATGTTACAATGATTTCCACGAGCAGCAAAAATAGACCTGGAGATCAATAAACATTGGCCATGGATCTTTGTCTTTGATGTTTGTGCACTCGTGTGTGTGTGTGTGTGTGTGTGTGTGTGTGTGTGTGTGTGTGTGTGTGTGTGTGTGTGTGTGTGTGTGTGTGTGTGTGTGTGTGTTTGTGTTCTGTTATCCTGGACTGGAGTTTTGGCACAGATTTCAAAGGCCTTATCAGATGAAGGTTAGCATTCTGCATGTTTGATGAATAGCCGCTCTGTATGCATTATGCTGTATATGTCCATGTTCCTGTCAGTGTCACCAGGAGGACTGCTAACACAGTGTGTGTGCCCAGACTAATAACACTGATATTCACTCATTCATTATACATACTATAATACTTCAGTGCTGCCATGTCAGCCACCTCCCACATCCACCGCTGAACTGATGGGACAGTTACACAAGCTGCAAGCAGTGTAAATGTACTGGGACCACATCAATAATATCCATTAAAGTTATAGAGGAAAACTCCACCCTCACATACTCTTGCACTGCTGTATATCACCAGTGTGAGTTGGAGGCAATCTGTATTTTTGTAAGTACTTTTGTCTCCTCTTGTAGTTGTATTGACTGGTAGAATTTTTAATCTTGCTGCAAAATGGTAAATCTAG